TGAATCTTGGTAAGGATCTTAGTACAGTCATTTAGATCCTTTCACTTCCCAGATTCTGGACCATATCTATTGAATGGTTTTGATATTAATTTTATTTTCAATGGCATGACAGTGAAAACCAGCAATACCCCAGTTCGTGTTCAACTGATAAAAATCGATAACTGTAAACCAACTGATAAATGGATAACTGCCAATTGATATTGATGTGGATAGGGAATGGGTGATAGTATAAAGAGAGAAAAGCATAGTACGAAGGTTCTTGCATCCCTTCACGTTTGATTCAATATGAGCTATTAGTATATACATACTCAGTGATCTTGGTAATTCAAGCAATCTGATTGGTTAGCTATCTTGGACTATGACGTTATATTCACCGCGCTAGGTGGTGAATATAAAGCAGAACAAAATCGCTGTCGTGAACTGGGTGTTTTGCGAAAGTTTCATAGTAAAGCCTTTTTGAAAATACACGAATATCCAAGTGCTGATGACTTAGAAGGCAAGAAAAGACTTCGAGGTGTTTAAACAGGGTGATTTATTGTGAAGTGGTTTACTGTAGCTGACTTTCTGTATACGTTCGAAGCTATGTTTACCACTATAGAGGAAAACAAGGCCACTTTGTCACTGTTTTGTGATTTCGGGATTTTCTCGCAAGACCAATTTTGCCTATAAATCGAAGTTAATTTATGGAGAAAAGAGGAAGGCAAATATTTTCGAAAATTGTACGTGTCAGCAAGTTAACAAGGCTAAGAACATTGCAGATAAACAACGCTGACCTTGATCGTAACCGCTGTTGACAGCATTTGCAAGAAGCGACAAAGAAAACTTTCTCATTCACGGTGAGTTGACAGAAACAAATAAAGCTCTACCTTTCTTCTCAGAATTGGGTAGTAATTTAAACTTTGGGCGTTCTCTTTTAAACCGTTGATGCTAAAGCTTACAAAACTCGATACAAAAAGATTAAAACTATCATTTGCCATGTTTGAAGATGCTGTAAAGATCTTTGCGCATCTACTGTTTACGGCTTCGTGTTCACGCATGAATTCACCCGTCAATCAAACTAATCGTTTTTTAATGGTTTCCTCTTTGATTCTGTTGAGATCACTTCGTGTGATTATACTAAAACAATTATTCACCTCAGGCTCAGTTAACATTGTTGAATAATCCCCTCGACTTTGTCTCGGGAATTATTCAACAATATTAACTTCACCTTTGCCGAATAATTGTTAATTATCATTTGTTCAAAATATTTCTCCATTTCTGATTGGCTAAAATCACACTCACAATTCATCATAACCAGCTATCGTCGACCAAATTTGGAAAAATTTCTTCGTCTTCTTCTTCATCTTCTTCCATTACTTGGCTCCATCTACATTGTGTATAAAGATGATTCTTCCAAGTTGTAAGGGTTGTAAAGGGTTTCCATAAAAATAATAATAATCATTGTAGATCTTCCTGTAGGTTCACAGAATCGTTCATAGACTGAATAGCCAGGTATTATATAGTGTCATCAGCAAGAAGTCTAACTCTGGTGGACAAACTTTCAGCTAGATCTTTTACACGTACAGGGCTGTATGTACAGTAGGAAGGGGCAAGAACCCAATACTGAGCCTTTTGGAACCCCTGCCTGTGGATTAAGGGACGATAACCAACTTTATCGAAAGCCTTTGCAAAATCCATTATAAGTATATCAGTTTGGCCCTCACCTGGCATGTTGCTTGCTAAGTCATGGATGGTCCATTCCACATGAGAAAAAAAAAAGGACCATTTTTGAAATAAACTACTCTGGGATTTTAAGTGCATCGCCAAAATGTATAAGGACTGAAGTTTCAAAAATCATCAGGACATACATTAGTGTAAGTGCAGATCCACCATTCGATACTGAGGGGGGTACCCAAAGTAAGTGACTACTAAAAGACTTGTATTCCGGTAATAATGAATTCAATAATCTTTTAACCATAATTCAAACAATTGAGTTCAATGAAGATCAAATGTAACTTGAAATGTTTAGTTTAACCATAACTCTCCATTAAAAACCACAGTATTTTCAACTAACATTTTTTCGGAGAAATCAGTAACTGCCAAAACTATTGACATGGACGTTACGTAAGGTCCATGAAATTTAAAGAAATTTTATTTTCTCTCACAGCTGTTGTCTAAGTCCAATACAAAAAATAACAAAGATGCTTTTTTATTTGACCAAGTAACATACATCTGTGACAACAAAACCAATCAGTTCCAAAAAAACACAAAAAATTTAATGTTAAATTTCTCATACTTAATGGATGTTACTTTCATGGACGTTACATCATGACAACAACAAGTAATGGTAACAGGAATGAGTGAAGTCCAATTCGGTCTGTAATCATACAAGTGATTAACAACATCAGACGACCCCATAGCGGGAGTCCGATTTGCTTAATCACGAGTATGATTACAGACCGAATTGGACAACACGAAGTTCTGTTACCAATTAATCACAACTTTAACAAAATTTGTAATATATTAGGCTCTTTTTTTAATCAAAACCAGTGTTCGACACTAATTTTCCTGCTAACTTGCCCTCTGGGCAACTATGTCGCTAGTTTTACTTGCCGAGTGTATTTTTTGGTTGCCCCCAAAAAATCACCAGCTCGCTTTGCTCGCAGTTTCATTGAATTTTCAATAATTGTGCCTTCTAACTTTAATGCCTAGCATAAATCCCAAGCGAGATTTCATGGTGTTCTTTTCTTCATCGTGTACAAGCCAAAGAAAGTCTCGCTCCCATGACATTTGGTATTTTCGATCTCGTTTGCTTTTCCCAGCGAAGACTTCTGGTTGAGATTCAGCTTTTCTCTTGTCTCCTGGTTCCTTAAGCTTTGTAGAATTTAACTGTTGTGTGGCTTGGATGTCCTCACTTTTAGTGACTGTGTCCAGTGACTTCCGCGTAAAACCAAAACGAAATAAACTCATGGTTGCTCATCAGGCTGCCATTTTTTTTTGTTTGGTAGTTCGTGGCAAGTACGTGAGAGGACTGGGTACAAATTTACCCATGAATACTTGCTCGTGAAGAAAAACATGGCGGAAAACGAAATACTCAATGTATTGGCGTAAGGACCCGTCACTGTACTTGTTTTTCATTCTCCTTCTATGTTCGCCTGACTAAAATTTCAAAAAAGGGATCAGGTGATTTTGCTGCAGCTGTTGGATTTTATTCTTGTCCCAGCGGCTCGAGTGTTATCCTTAACCACTTGCCCAAACGGGCAACCTGTGCAGCTTACACACTTGNCGTAAAACCAAAACGAAATAAACTCATGGTTGCTCATCAGGCTGCCATCTTTGTTTGTTTGGTAGTTCGTGGCAAGTACGTGAGAGGACTGGGTACAAATTTACCCATGAATACTTGCTCGTGAAGAAAAACATGGCGGAAAACGAAATACTCAATGTATTGGCGTAAGGACCCGTCACTGTACTTGTTTTTCATTCTCCTTCTATGTTCGCCTGACTAAAATTTCAAAAAAGGGATCAGGTGATTTTGCTGCAGCTGTTGGATTTTATTCTTGTCCCAGCGGCTCGAGTGTTATCCTTAACCACTTGCCCAAACGGGCAACCTGTGCAGCTTACACACTTGCCCAACGCATAATTCTACTTGCCCAGGGCAAGTGGGCAAGCGTTAGTGTCGAACACTGAAAACACAAGAAATTCCGAGATTTTTTTGCTAGGAGTGAAAAAAAAGCCATTTAAGCACACGCGTGATGGCGTGTACTGTCCAATTACTTAAGCGTGACACGTACTGTCCTATTAACTGTCCTATTAGTATGTGTAATCAAATGGTGACGAGTGAAATTAGGGAATAATTTCACGCGCGTTTTGTCCAAATCCTAATAATTTAGCCTTTAAGCAAGGGAAATTATTAGGATTTGGACAAAACGCAAGTGAAATTATTCCCTAATTTCACAAGTATACCATTTGATTACCTATTAATATCATGGGTGACGAATTACGTTAGCAATCTTGGATTTTTGACATGTTTATCCTGGATCGTATCGATCGAGGACTCCACTCTCTCAAATGTTTAGACCTTAAATTTGGCTTATAAAGTTCAGAATTTTTCAGACTTCTTCAGCAAAATACCTGTTAGAATCCTTCTTGATGTTCTCTTGCGTGTTCAGGTTTTCTAAGGCGTCTTTTTGTGTCCTAACATCTTCATTCATGGCATTTTAAAACTTCATCGCCATCTTGACACTGAGATGTACCGAAGGGTTGCCATGGCAATTTTGTAATTTCACATGTAATTTCACATGTGAAATTACAAATTAACGCTGAAATTTCGCGCCAAAATTAAGGATTAACTCGTCACCTATGATATTAAGGCTAAAATCAGGGCAGTTGATAGCCAATCAGATTTAAGAATTTTGTTATAGTTATGATTAATGCAGGAAGCTCACTAATATTTGCCTAAAAAGCCTGGTTATAATACTAAAATTTTATATAACAACAATAATGTATATTCAGCATTGCTGAATATTATTATGGAGTTAAATAGAGCACTTAGAATCTTATTGGAGACAATAGTGAATTATTATAAGGACAACATTATTAATAATTACAATTGTCAACAAAAAATTAATGTCAAGTGTAAGTTACTTCATCTTTTAAAGTAAACATATCAAATCGTCAATATAGCCTTGTGGAAACTTCTAAATTGCTCACAGTCTCTAAAATTTGATAATAATGTGGAACTGAAAGATACTCTAATCAATAGACCAAGTATCAAACATATCCATTTTTTATTGCAATGCTTAGAAAGAGCTTGAAACCAGGCTTTTCTTTTAAAAACACCTTTTCTACAAGCAGCTTCTTTGAAATTTTAAATCATGGAACAAAAAAAATACATGAAGATCAGCTTAAAGATGAGTCACAAACATTTACTTGGTGACTTATGTTTTTTCGTCAAAAAGGTGAAAATTTAAAGGAAAGATAAAGCCTGTGTCAAAACTAATCACCAGTTTTCTAATGTTTGTGGGAAAGAAAGAAGGTTCAGGGAATTTAAATTTCTGACATCACTGATTTCTTTATCTTTTTTACCCTCTGTAACGTCCATGATCCAGAATGTAACATCCATGACAGTGTTTTGTCATCAAGCAAAGAAGGCACACATCACAAAAGAAATATTTATCACTTTGCTATTGTAGTATCACTATTTACCTAAAAAACAAAATCAATTGTTTTTAGTTATGCTTGCAGAATTCACAGGAATTTAATGTTTAACATTTGCACTTAAGAACGTGGTTTCTTTCGTTGTAACATTTGTGTAATAGTAAATTTGATGAGTTTCTCACTTCACATGCAGCTAACACCTATCTGTCACAAACAAAGTGAAAGGGAATGGTTGTTTGTTATTATGTATCTGTTCTAATGATTTTTCTCTAACTACACTCATGCAATTGTAACGTCCATGATCGTGGAATGACCCGGATAAGCTCTAACAATTGAGTTTGGCAGGAGCGTTTTTCTCTAAAGCCACATTGTAAATTGTCTAGGATGTTGTTCACTTGGGTGTGCTTCATTATTTTGCTGACAAGTACATGTTCCAATACCTTACAGGCAATGCATGTTAAGGAAAATTAATTTTGGCTGGTAATTTGCAGCGTCAGATTTTTTACCCTTTTTTAAAAACAGGTGGAACCCATGCAGTTTTCCAATCTTCTGGTATTCTCTCCAGACTCGTAAGATCTCTTGTAGATTGGTGTGAGTATTGGTGCAATTCTTACTGCTGTGGAACACTCTTTCAAAGTCTGTGGTCCAATGCTATCAGGGCCAGCTGTTTTGTGGATCTACTATTTTTGTAATAATTTCAGAACACCCACTTCTGATACAGTACAGCTGTAAGGTCATGTATTTGGTAGCAGGCCATCGCGTATGGGGCCCTTAGTAGTGAAGGCTGATTGAAATGAATGACTTTCCAGTAATCCGAGACTTAGTTATGCGCACAGGATTATGGGATCCCCAGGGGGCAAACATTGCAAGTTGCTACAAAGAAATGTATGGCGTGGAGCTGTTTCTCTGTTAAAAGCAGTGTCTTTGAACAGAGAATGCCACATTTTGCTGTAATTTTATGAGAAGTGGAGGTGTCTAATGTTGGTGCGTTGAAATTGTAAGTTTTTGTGGGATCAATGCGATGAATTCTATCAGTAAAAAGCTCCTTGCATAAGGTCGACTGTGAAATTTACTGCATTGTCTCGAAATATATAGAACTAACTTAGGTATTAATGAGTGGGGAATGCAGTCTCATTTAAGCCTTTCCAGTTGTACTTACATGTGCTTGTATTTACAACGAGTGTAATTACACTCCCCTCGGCGGCAATCACAATGCTGTGCCAGTTTGTGACAACGATTCTAAAAAACATCAAAAACATCTTACCCACATTAGCATACTGATTTCTTCTCGCCAAAAAGAACACAAGCGAAATCTTTGTGATGATCCAGTGCACTAAGGAGTGATAAATGCCTTTTCCAATCATTTTGAGGGAAGATATAGATTCTCTGAATTTTGCACATTAACTTGGTATTAATTTATTTACACACTCACTACTTTTATGTTGGAAGTCTTACTCGTTTGTATGATTTCTGCCTCAACTACTAATGGTTAAATACCATGAGCTTTCCACGGAAAGCTTTTTGCAACAAAGCGGTGGCTATTTGTACTATATTTACGGGGAAAAAATTTCCATGCATCTCTTAAGTTATGAAAAAAACAAAGATTTTTCAAAATTTTCGAAAATTATGTGCCATTATGTGTTTCTTTGGAATTATGCAAATTATGTGCTCAGAGCTGAATTATGCGCTTTCACATCCACACATAATTCCAGAAGCCCTGTTTAAATGATTTGCTTACTAATTGTAAGGATCTGATATCTGTTTGCCATTGATACTTAAGGAACTAATATTGTAACTGTGTCAGAACGACACCATGGCGAACAATTTCGTACGGTCAGCGGTTCAATGCGTAGCTCACACTATCATTAATAAATCTTGTAAAAACATTAGAAATTACTACAAAACAACTAAAAAATATTACTTTACACATACTCAAACAAAAACAAAATAAAAATTCGAAAGAAGACAGAAACCGAAGTTTTCTTGTTATTACATTTTTGCACAATCAACAGTCGTAATGTCACATCACTTTGTCACGCGAAGTCACACAATGCGAAGAAATACTGTTCCAAGCTTCTTGTCAAGCCGTACAGCAGACTTTCAAGTGAAATTCAAACTGCATAGTGTGAGTAACATAAATGGAACACTTTCAACTTGGTGGCCGATGTTTACTTCGGGAAAAAGATATATAAACCTTTCATTTTGTCAGTATCTCCACATGTCACAAGAAGATTTCTTTCAACCCATTTTTCTCGTATTTTACATTAGCTGGGAACAGCGAAGAAAGGCTTACAGATGTCATTTATAAACTTAAAACGGCCTTTTTTACCTGCACAATTGAACTGGATTTGTGGACTTCAAACAGAAGCAACTTGTGTTTTGATTTTGCCATTTGCGGGAGCACCTCGGCCCAGTTTTGAAAAGACTTATGGCAGATTTCCTCGAAATAGAACAAATTTTACACCACGTTAGGAATCTTCTGTTCAATGTGTATTTGGGAACTACACTGCTCAAAGGCAAAAGTATGCATGCATTTTAAGAACTAGATTTGTGGACCCAAGATTAAACTTGCCCTTGAGGAGCATCCATGATGGCAGTCATCGACTAAACTTTGATCGTACAGTAATTTACCCTCTTCCTGTTTTGTCGCGTAGTATACTTCTTTAATTTTGATGATTTAATTAAGGTTTACAACCTTTACAATTAACGTAAATTGTATTTTTTGTGAAAAGGTAAGGACAAAACTGTTTGTTACCGAAAATTTCTGAAGTCGAAGTGACTCAGTGGAGTAATCTGAACATTAAATATGCCAAATTTGGCGTATTTGCCAACCCTGGACACAGTTTGATAAACATCCAAAAATGCTTCAGTCTCGATTTGTTGTGATTTTCATTGTTCATAGGTGTGATTATGTTCTCAACATAATCCCATTATGCTTTTCTCGACTTCCCTTGTATTGCTCTTTTTTTGTCTTTGAATTAATTGGATAACATTGTAAGTTTTTGAGCATCATGTGCATGCGATCTTAGCATGGTTTTCTCTTAACAAGACAATTTAAATATCCATTCTTGTGATTAGTTTCTTAATATCCCTTGTTATCCATGGAATTCGAAGGTGGTCTTTGGACTTATATCTTTTATGCCATACATATTTGTTAATGCCTTCATGTATGGTTGTTTTCAACCTACGCCATATGTCATTTGCTGATAGACCATTGTGTTCATCACACAGAAATTTGCCAATCAAGGTTAGATCTTTTTCAAAAGCGTCCCATCTTGCTTTGTTAAACAAAGGAATTTCTGTAGGTTTTTGTTTGTATCTTATTGGTTCGAGGTAAATGTTAATAAGATGACAATCATGGCCTGAAACTCCAGGTAAAACAGAGATATTCATGGTACTGGAGGGATTATTGGAGAGGGTCAAGTCTAAAGTGTCAAGTTGTATCAAGCCACTATCATCCAGTAAGTTGCCAAACTGATGGTGTAGTGCAGGATAACTGCATGGCTGGACTACTTGATTTTTCCAATAACAACCTGGGAGATTGTAGTCCCCACCTACAGATGTAGAAGTACACTGTATATGGTGGCGGTTATTCTTTTTCATAGACAGGGACTTTTCCAGCTCAATTAAGGCAACTTCATTTGTAGTAAGCTCCCACATGGATGGTTTTGTTACCAGCTAATTTGACTGATAATGTCAAAAGTGCAGCAAAGTTGTAGATATTTGAACTGTTAACCGAGTAGACCTTGGGACAAGGTTGAGTTGTTTTGATTGTGACTTCAAAATGGCAGAACTTTTCACTAGTTTCGAGAGTAAGAAATTAGTCTTTTAAGCCCGTTTTGAACATACATTGGAGGAAGGAGAAAAGAGATTGCTGCTGAAAAAAAGCAGTGAACTAAATAAAAGTAGGAGATGAAATGCTGTAAACAACAACATGTAGAAGCGACCTGTCACCAAAACAGGGATGTAAATAACAGTGTCACATTACAGAGTAGTTGGTCCATCAAAATGGTTGCGAATTGATAACTGAAACTGATTTCAGTTTAAACCTTTTTATAAGCTCTGCAAAGTCTACAAATGAAGATTCAAGAGAAGAACATGTAAAAATTTAAAAACAGTGTTCATTTGGTCAAAAAACTTTGATCACTTTTAGCCCATTTAACATATAATACTAACATTTGAATGTGCCGCGAAAGTTTGATTTATGCTAACGAAGCCTCCTGCACAAGAACAACTGCACTTGCTCCGCCAAGGATGTAAGAACTCAAGTAAACCGAATACTAACAATCTGCATGTAAAGTTTTACACCCAAATTAAGAAATAAGTTAGCAATAGCATTGAAATTAGCCACTGAGGTGAAGAACCATATTTCTAGTTTATGGATTTACTGTGAACAAGCCATTATAATCATTACCATTATTGCAAAAGTGTAGGAATCAGAATATTGAGGCCAGTCCAAAATCAAAGTGAACAATTCCTTTTTGGGAGGGAAAAAACCCATTCTAAACAGATAATATAGTCGTTAATGGTGATCAGTTAAGAACCGTCAACATGAAGCCTATTGCATGAAGGTTAGTCTTTTGCAATATTCAAGGAGCAAACTCCGACAAAATTTGGGCAGGAATGTTAGTGTCTTTCTCAATATCCAAGCAAGAAACTCGCGACAAAATGTGGGGGGGATCAGGATTCGGAAAAAAAAAAAAAGGCAGGATAGCGGGATTAAGAAGAAAATATAGGCAGGAAGGGGGATTTGAGAACCCCTATTGTGGACCCTCTGTTATGTTTTCACGTCAGAAAATTTATTTTTTGGATAAATAATACTTGCTTATAACTCATCTTAACATATGGATGTTTTACATTCAAACAAAAATAATAAAAAAATAAAATTCAACAATAAAAACAATAAAATTCAAACTGAAAATGTATGATTAGGTAGTCTGCGAATGCAGACATAGAATGTATTTCTGGTCATTGCTGCGCTCCACCCGTAAAGTAATGTCTGCAGACCTGAGCAGCCAAACATCTTTTGTGACATAAACCTTTCGTTTTGTTGTTGACCAATCACGATAGAGGATAAAAGTAAAACTTGAGTGACTCTTCGTGACTTCGCGCACTTACTTGTCTAGAATCCTCCCACGAAAACATAATAAAGATAGGATGGGATGATCTCAGACTAACCCACAATACACCCATGAAACTGTGGTACAAGAAAATTTTAGTGTCTCTTTGTAAGCAGTCGAGAAAGTTGCCTGCAAATTTCAGTTGGAAAGACAACCAAAGAAATTTTAAGGCCACTGGAATAAGCTCTGAGCAGTATGGTGGCCACAGATACTAAACAATTACTGGACAAGGTTTTTGTGATATCTGGAATAATTCAGGTTGGCGAGTGCTATCAGCCGAGCCAAAGTCAGTGTCACAAAAGCGGAATCCAATAATTGTTTTATTATACATGGTTTTAAAGATAATAACTACAACCACAACCTTGCACTTTGGGATCTAGTTGGAAATCATCCATTGCTCACGCAACCTATACAGATTAGTCAGTTATCTGCTAGCAGATATTAACTACATGTAAATAATCTGTAGGCTTCACTAATTACCAAATTAATCGTAGGCTCTTTAATAGCCAATGAGAAGACATAATAATTGCAATGTATAATAAATAACAATTGTTCACCGAAGTGGCAGTGGCTAGTGGTGGATGTTTTCCAAGCTGTGAATTTAGTAGATAGTGAAACAGTGAGATGATTGAGCTCAAAAATTATGATTTTTAAACACACTTCTTGCTGCCAATGATTACAATTTTTTCACACAAATGACTGAAGTTACACCTGTCACGTTGTCTTGCTGACAAGCTTTTCAAGACATTTTTTAGCTCTTGTGGGCACAAAAAAAGGAGATGTGAATCATTCCTGTATTTGAGACAATTCTGTACAAAAAGCCATTAAAAACCTTGTTTTAGGCTTATTTATGAACAAGTCATGTCAGCTAAATAAAGTAACACAAGACTTAACTTGCGTTTGTAAACAAAAAACCTTTTTACCAGTTTCATTAATAAATTATGACGTTAAACGGCCAAAGCTTTACCTGTAAAAAAACTTCCAAATCAAATTCCGTTTCCTTCTTCATGTTTTTTGGGAATATTTTTTTATTATTATTTGTAAAATTTCTTTGTTTGTTATAGCAGCAAACCGGGAAGCCATTTTGCTCGTAACTTATGCGAGTTCGACGTCGCTCAAAGGTGAATAGCACTGGATATCCCATGTTTGAGCTGCCAATCAAAACGTGGGAAAAACGCTATCCACTGTTTGAGTACGGTTGTATATACTAAAACCAGATATTGACTTAAAAGTGACATTGTTTGACTAAGAGAAATATCTTGTTTTGTTGTGCAGGACATTAGAGTCACAAAAGAATTGCCAGGAAATTAGATGTGTTTTGCATATTGATTTTTATTTCGTGGACATCATTAACAACGTGCTTATAATTCACCAATATGTTTCGTTCCTCCAAAAAAAGCCACAAACAAAAAATTCACAAGTTTCACTTACATTTGAGAATTAGCAAAATGTCAAGGGGTTGTTTTTTAAAATAGTTAACCTGTATGTATGTCTTCACTCTCATGACTGTACAATATTATTATGTTGGTGGTTTAAGGTGGTTCCGTCATTTAATAATACGTTTGCATTTAGCTATGGCGAACTTTTCGTCATAACCTTTTCGATTTTAATGGGATGGCAGAGAAACTTTGCAAAGAATTACAGATATTATTCGGCAATGATATGAAATATTCCGATTTCATTGATGGAAAATATTTTTTGCGAGATTAGTGCTTAAAAGGACCCCACTTTTCGAAGAAAATTGCGTCTAGTAAAAAATTTTACTGATACTTTTTAATGAAATTTCTGGTATCGGTTTTTATTGATGTAATAAATGTGCCTGAGAAATTTCAGAAAAATCGTTGGAGCAGAAGTCCGTAAGTAGAAAGTGCTTCAAAATTTAGCTGTGAAATCGTTCTTGAATACCAAAAAGAAATTGACCACTCCAGAAAATACCATAACATACGATAATGCTCTTTGTTGGTCACCCCAAAATTTTGCATAAGCATTGTTTTCAG